CAGGAATGCAGATTCCTGCAATGTTCACTGCACCGTAGACTCGGGAATGCATGCATTACAGTCCCTTCAGTGTAGAAATTCAAGGTGTGTGTGCACCTATACTGAGGCAACAGAGAGTACAGACTTGCAGCTGAGGCTGTAAGTCCCAACCACCAGCGCCTGGTCTGCATGCTTCGGACTTGGAAATGAGGTGAGGCTGTCTTGGGGGTGCCTTGTGCTGATGCTCTTGAGCACACTGAAAACCCAGCCTGGTGCATGGTGCCAGTAGTATCCACGTCGCCTCATTTCTGGCATTGACACATGTGAGGGTATGAGTGGGCACACTTTATTGCATCAGCAGCAAGACTGAGCTCCCTGCTGAAGCAATCCTCAAGTTTCTAGGATCTAATTCAAAAGATACACGTGGGAGGGGTGACATGGCCATCAATCTTTGTTTTAATTTATCTGCTAAACGGAATTGTTTTAATACTGTCCACATGGAAGTATCAGAGCTAAGTTTGTTAGCCTTCTGTACTCCTGTTTTGACTTCTGTCCACAGACTTCAACTAGTAACATAGAATCCAGACAATGAAAGGGTTAACAAGCCAGAGTTTGTCCTCCTTAGGTAAGGTCTCTGGGCACCTTAAGTACCTATAATATGAACAGGGTTATTAGGTTCAAGCTCTGAACTGCAAAATGTCAAGGTAGGGTAACCAGAGAAAAAGTAAAAATCCTCCAGAAGTCGAAGTGTGAATTTTCTTTCTTCCCCTCCCACCCCCATCTCTTCCTCCTTGCCTCACACGTGCTCCTAAATCTCATTGTCAAAAGTGATGGTCCAATTGACTCTTAAGGTATTGTGTGAGCCCTTCCTTTCTGTTGAAAGTCAGTGGGACTAGTTTCCTTTTGATAATGGACTGTGTATTACTGAATTCATTGGATACCCTGAAATCTTTGCTTTTAATCTAAGTTATTACTACCAAGATTGATAAGTATTTTTCTACCTTGATAGTTTCTTTTGTAGTTTACCTGTGAGACCCTTGGGGAGGGGAATGAACTGAAATGTTTTTAACTCTAAGACCTTACTTCTGAGCTGTCAAGTGATGATAATCTTGTTAATTCTTGAAGACCTGAAAAAAGGTGTATCCTCCTGTTTCTTGGGTTCTGTTAGTGTAGCCAGTTGCTTATATCTGTTGGAGAAGAGGCTGTTTAGGTGCATATGAACTGTTTTGGGGAGAGGCTGTGGAGAAAAGCAGTTGATTGACTTTCCTTTTAATTGGAGTGACCATAAGGAAATCCAGGACACCCCCTTCCTACCTCTGCCCCAGCTCTCCTAAGTCACTGATGCTACTGGAAGCAGAGGTGGGGGGTGGGGTGGTGCACCAGGCAGTGGTGTCTGCTGGCATTGTGCCACTTCATCTCTCCGCCAGACTGCCCTGCATTTCTGGGATGCTCATTTTAATTCACACCTACCAACTGGGACCAGCTTCCAAAATCAAGGGCTGTCCCAGCTAAACCGGGATGTATGGTCACCCTACCTTTAATTGAAGTTTTATATTTCTTGACCTACAGAGCAGCCGAGAAAATGGTGACACGGATAAGAAGGATGTGGTTGAGTTGACTGATGACACCTTCGACAAGAACGTCTTAAATAGCGATGATGTCTGGCTGGTGGAATTTTATGCCCCTTGGTGTGGACACTGCAAAAAGTAAATGAAGCTGTTGGCAGTTCACCTGCAATTGGCCCTTTGCCATGTATTAAGTATGCAGGCAGCCATATATCTTGAAATGGGACCTTGTGTCTGCTTTGCTATAAGTGGGTTTGTACTCTAGTTTTCCTGCTCCAAAGATGTATAAGCCCCTCTGGTTAGGAAATTTAAGTTTTATGTGCTCATTAGAGCACCATGTCAGCACAAGAATTTAGCATTCTTTGGACTTGCAAGGAATGGACTCGCTGCCAGTTGTAGCCAATGACAAGATTCCCAGCAAAGGGGTCAGGCTCTCTAAGTGTCTTTTGTTTATTTTGTTTTGCTTTTCATGTTAAGATGATCTGTATTCTTAACATAGAACTCAGTTTCATCTGAGATATTCCAGCTAACTGTCATGTCTTGCAGAATTGCTCCTCTATCAGGGGTGTTCACTGTAGTTTCACTCACTTGTTTTTAAAAGAACAGTTACTTGTAACACTAAAAAACTGCCTTGCTTTCTAGTCTGGAGCCAGAATGGGCAGCTGCTGCCACAGAAGTGAAAGAACAAACTAAGGGCAAGGTGAAGCTAGCTGCTGTGGATGCCACAGTAAATCAGATGTTGACTGGTCGATATGGGGTGAGTCTGCAGCTTCCAAATTCGTTTCCCTCTGGTTACAAGATGTGGGATAAGGTGTGTTCCACTCTATACCAGAAAAAATTTGTATGGTGGCACCAATATTTTATTATGAAGCACTAAAAATATATTAGAAATGATTATAACAATTCATAGAAAAAGCAGTAGCTATTCTGATTTGCAGGGGGTGCAACATAGAGAAATGTAGAGAACATAGATGTGGATGTCTAGCAAGTATATCAAGGATCTTGACAGCTTACTGCCACAAGGCCTGGCATAATTCTGTACTTTTATAGCACTCTACAAAGTCTCATTCTAAATCAAATACCACTTCCTTTGGACAGGCTCTCTTGTACCTGGGTCAGAGTGCAGCAGTTATTTCCAGAGTGCAGCTGTCTTCTTATCTAGCTTCTAGTCATCTAGCTGGAAAAATTCCAAAGATGTTAAGTTATACAGCATAGTGAGACTGCAGGCACAGAACTTGGTGCTCCACTAAACAGCTCCCTCCCTCAAGGAGGCTGGTCTGCATGGAAGAACTAAGCATTAAGTCTCATATTTAACTGTAAAATAATTTACGAAGGTGGAAAGGGAAATCCAAGTAGCATGCTGGTAAAGGGTTGAAATGCACTTGTAACTGCTAGTCAGTTACTGTAGGCCAGTCACTGTAGGCACAAAGTTAAGTTCTGATTTTATTAAATGTGCAGGGCAGAGGACACCACAGTTCACCCTCTGTCCATAAGTGCCATGGACATTAATCTCTCCCGTGGAAGCATGACAGCAAGCAGTGTAGGGTGACACCATAGCAACTAATTTGTTCAGACAGGCATAAGCTTTGCTCGACAGATGCTGTGAATGGACATGAAGAGAGCAGAGGTACTGAACAGAAAGAATAACGTGAATTAAATATAAACCCTAGGGAAAGGGAGAGGAAAGGATAGGAGCAGGGGGTACTGCTCAGATGTGCAGGTGGGTTGAAGAGATCAAAAGGGATAAATAAAGTAGTTAGCCCTTATGCCCTTCAATAAGTTATAAAAGCTAGTCCAGGTAATGGGGTGAGAATCTATAATAGTCTCTATTGAGATCATACATAACACAATCCAGTCTGGATGATTTCTTGTTCTTCAGTTTTATATTCAAGTCGGTTTTTAATGTTGATGGAATGTGCAGAGGTTGAAATGTTTTTCTGCAGACTTTTGTAGACTGATTGGACACCAGTTTGACATCATTCTTTCACATGGAGATCACCCCATCTGTCCAGCATAGATGGTGGAGGGGCTCTGTAAGCAGGTGATCGAAAATGTGATGGTGATAGAGGATCAGGTGTGATAATTTGTATTGTTTGGTCCATTGATGTGATTTGTGAAGCACAAAGGATTAAACTGGCTCTGCAAATATTTACAATCGTTTTTGAGGTGCATAGGGGGTGGAATTTTACTTCACTTTGTGCATTTCATTGGCTGTTTTCTAGCTCTGTGTAATGGTGTTTTTGCACTTATGTGCAGGTAGGGGTATCCTGCAGTGTGGATAAGCAAACATAGGCGTGTGAACTCACCATTTGCAGTCACCTATGCACAGGATGGGCAGATATGTGGTACATACTTTCACCCACTGTGGATGTGTGTACCTTTTGTCCAAGTCCTAAAAATATAGCAAGCTAGAAAACCACTACTAACGGATGCTCAACTCTAGAGAAGGAGGCAGCCCCTCCCATATTGAGGAGGGACAACTTCCTGGTGCAAGTGCTGGAGCAGCCAACTAGGGCTGTGCTCTTCTGGACCTGCTGCTAACAAAATGGGGAAGAATTGGTGTGGAATGTAGTAGTAGATGGCAGCTTGGGTAGCAGTGACCATGAGATGGTTGAGTTCAGGATCCTGAGGAAAAGAAGGACTTCAGAAAAGCAGACTTTGACTTGCTCAGGGAATTCATGAACAGGATCCCCTGGGAGCCAGTCTGAGGAGGAGAGGAGTCCAGGAGAGCTGTCTGTACTTTAAAGAAGCCTTACTGAGACTGCAGGAACAAACCATCCTGATGTGCAGGAAGACTAGCAAGTATGACAGAAGACCATCTTGGCTTATCAGGGAACTATTCAGTAAACTAAATCACAAAGGAAGCTTATCAGAAATGGAAACTCTGTCAAACAACTAGGGAGGAGTATAAAAGTATTGCATGGGCATGCAGGGATGAAGTCAGGAAGGCCAAAGTGCAATTGGAGTTGCAGCTAGCAAGGGATGTGAAGGGTAACAAGACAGGTTTCTGTAAGTATCTTAGTAACAAGAGGAAGGTCAGGGAAAGTGTGGGTCCTTTACTGAATTGGGGAGGCAACCTAGTGACGGAGGATGCAGAGAAGAATGAAGTACTCGGTGCCTCTTTCACCTCTATCTTCACAGGCAAGTTCAGTTCCCAGACTACTGCAACTAGCAGCACAGTTTTGGGAGGAAGTGAACAGCCAACAGTGGCAAAAGAACAGGTTAGAGACTATTTAGAAAAGCAGGATATGTACAAGTCCATGGGGTCAGACAGGATGCACCTGAGGTTGCTGAGAGAGTTGGCTGATGTGAGTGCAGAGCTGCTGGCCATCATCTTTGAAAACTCATGGCAATTGGAAGAGGTCCCAGATGATTGGAAAAGTGCAAACTATAGTGCCCATATTTAAGAAAGGGAAAAGGAGGATCCAGGGAACTACAGACCATTCAGCCTCATCTCAGTCCCTGAAAAACATCATGGAGCAAATCCTCAAGGAGGAGAAGGAGGTCGTTAGAAACAGTGAGCCTAGATTCATAGACATTTTAGACATTAGGGCTGGAAGGGACCTCAGAAAATCTTCGAGTCCAGCCCTCTGCCCCAGGGGCAGGAAGTCAGCAGGTGTCATAGGATCCCAGCAAGATAAACATCCAAATTTCTCTTGAAGGTGTTCAAAGTAGGTACTGGAACTACCTCCGGCAGCAGTCTATTCCAGACCTTGGGGGCTCGGACAGTAAAGAAGTTCTTCCTTATGTCCAGCCTGAAACGGTCCTAGAGGAGTTTGTGACCATTCGACCTTGTCATCCCTTGGGGTGCTGTGGTGAACAAACGTTCCCCCACATCCTGGTGAGTACCCCTTATAGGCAGCCATCAGATCACCCCTTAGCCTGCGCTTTTCCAGGCTGAAGAGTCCCATAGGTCTCAGCCTCTCTTCATATAGTCTGTTTTCCTGACCTCTGATCATGTGCATGGCTCTCCTTTGCACTCTCTCAAGCTTCTCCACATCCTTTTTGAATTGTGGAGCCTAAAACTGGACACAGTACTTCAGCTGAGACCTCACCAAGGCTGAGTACAGTGGGAGAATGACATCCTGGGATTTGCCTGAGAAGCATCTATGGATGCAAGCCAGTGTTTTGCTCACTTTACTAGCAGCAGCATCACATTGATGGCTTATGTTCATCTTGTGGGTCAAATATGACCCCTAAGTCCTTTTTGTCCATAGTGCTAGCCAGCATAGCACTGCCAAGCCTATAAGCATGCTGCGGGTTTTTCTTCCCAAGGTGGAGAACCTTGCATTTTTCAGTGTTAAACACCATCAGGTTCTCGTCTGCCCATTTCCTGAGCCTGTCAAGGTCAGCCTGGATCTCCCTCCTGTCCTCAGGCGTGGATGCTTTACTCCAAAGTTTGGTGTCGTTGGCAAACTTGGCTAGTCCGCTTCTGACTCCAATGTCCACATCATTAATGAAGATGTTGAACAATATGGGTCCAACGACAGCCTTGAGGGACCCCACTGGTCATAGCACACCACAGTGATGGAAGTCAATCAACCACCATCCTCTGGGTCCGACCACAGAGCCAATTCCCCAACCAGCAGATAATGGTGAAGCCTAGGCCGCAGTTTGCCAGTTTTGCTAAGAGGTGATCATGGGATAGCAGGTTGAAGGCTTTTTTTAAAGTCAAGATGTATGACATAAATATCCTGTCCCTTGTCCAGGTGATAGGTCACCTGGTTGTAAAAAGAAATTAAGATTGGTCAAGCAAGCCCTACCTGCAACAAACCCATGCTGGCTATCCCTCAGGATGTTGCAATCGGCCAGTCTGTTAAGAATGGCCTCTTCGATTAATCTTTTCTAAGACCCTTCCCTGGGATAGAGGTCAGGCTGCTGGGCCTATAGTTTGCTGGATCCACTTTCCTCCCTTTCTTGAAGATAGACACCACATTGGCCTTCTTCCAATCTTTGGGCACTTCACCAGAGCGCCAGGAGTTCTCGAAGATCCATACCAGGGGGTGAGCTATGATGCTTGCCAGCTCCTTGAGTACCCTTGGGTGTAAACTGTCAGGGCCGGCTGACTTGAAGGTACCGAGCTTATTAAGGTGTTCCTTCACAAGGTCAGCATTGATGGAGGGTAAGGAATCTCCCTCACCTGGGCCTTCCCATCCCATAATGGGCAGGGGCGTCCCTTGGGACTGGTGAAAGACCGACGCAAAGTACCCATTTAGCCTTTTGGCTTTTTCCTGGGCGTCAGTTGTCCCATCTGGTTTAGCAGGGGTCCAGTGTTGCGCCTTGCTTTTCCTTCAGCTCCCCACGTATCTAAAAAAGGAGTTCCATCGCTGCCTGGGCTTTCCTGGTTTGCTCCCTACAGGTCCGGACCAGTGCAGAATATTCCTCCTTGGAGGTGGATCCCATACTCCATCCTTTGTAGGCCTTTCTTTTTAGATGCAGGAGGTCCGCTAGTTCCCTGCAGAGCCAAGGCGGCTGCTGTGCCCTTCTGCTGCCTTTACTCCGAGATGGAATAGACTTAGCTTGTGCATCCAGGATCACTCCCTTGAGGAGCAACCACTCATCCTGAACTCCCCTCCCCTTTGGGTCATGGTCCCTTAGGGCCTCCGTGACAAGCCTCCGGAGCTTGTCAAAGTCAGCTTTCCTGAAGTCAAGGTATTCACCAAGGGCAAGTCATGCTTTACCAACTTGATTGCCTTCTTTGATGAGATGACTAGCTCTATGGATGTGGGGAGACAAGTGGATGTGGTATACCTTGATATTTTTTTTTTTTATTATTTTTTTTATTTTTTTTATTTTTATTTTTTTTTTTAGCAAGGCTTTTAATACATTCTCACAGGCAAGCTAAGGAAGTATGGGCTGGATGAATGGACTGTAAGGAGGATAGAAAACTGGCTGGATCATTGGTGTCAGAGGGTAGTAATCAATTATTTTGTGTAATTGGCAGCTGGTATCAAGTGGAGTGCCCCAGGGGCTGGTCCTGGGTCTAGTTTTGTTCAGTATCTTCATCAACGAGCTGGAAGATGGTATACAGCAGGGGTTGTCAACTGGTGTTATGTGTACCTCTAGGGGTACTTGGGAAGGCCCCAGGGGGTACATGGCAGGGGCAGGGCTGCCAGCACTTTACACCGCTTGAACTGCTATGCACCATGCACCGCTGGTTCTTCTGGTTTTGCTGTGCTGCGCACCCCCCCCCCCCCCCCCCCCTCAGCCAGCTGCCACGGGTACACCTAACAAAAAAAGGTTGAAAACCCCTGGCATAGAGTGCAAACTCAGCAAGCTTGCGGATGACACCGAGCTGGGGGTAGTATTAGGTATGCTGGAGGGTAGGGCTAAGATTCAGAGAGACCTAAACAAACTGGAAGATTGGGCCAAAAGAAATATCATGAGGCTTAACAAGGACAAGTGCCAAGTCTGCACTGAGGATGGAACAATCCCATGCACTGGTACAGGCTGGGTGGTGACTGGGTGGGCAGCAGCTCTGCAGAAAAGAACCTGGGGGTTACAGCGGACAATAACCTGAGTATGAGCCAGCAGCGTGCCCTTTTTGCCAAGAAAGCTAACAGTATACTGGACTGCATTAGTAGGTGTGTTGCCAGTAAGTCAAGGGAAGTGATTATTCCCCTCTATTCTGCACTGGTGAGACCACCTCTGGAGTACTGTTTAGTTTTGGGCCCCCCACTACAGAAAGGATGTGGACAAATTGGACAGAGTCCAGCTGGAGGGCAGTGAAAATGGTAAGGGGGCTGGAGGACATGACTTCTGAGGAAAGGCTAAGAGAAGTGGGTTTTAGTCTAGAGAAAAGAAGACTGAGAGGGGATTTTATAGGAGCCTTCAACTACTGGAAGGGGAATGTTCTCAGTGCTGGCAGATGACAAAACAAGGATCAATGGTCTCAAGTTGCAGCAAGGGAGGTTTAGGTTGGATATTTGGAAAAACTCTCACTAGGAGGGTGGTAAAACACTGGAACAGGTTACGCACAGGTTGCAGACTCCATCCTTGGAGGTTTTTAAGACCCATCCTTGACTGGGATCATCTAGTTGGGGATGGTCCTGCTTTGAGCAGAGGGTTGAACTAGATGACCCCCTGAGGTCCCTCCCAATCCTAATTTTCTATGATTCTGTGTTGTAGCCCAATAATTCAATGATCATGGCAGTTACCCAGGTTCTATGCCCCTTTTGCTGAGAGGGAGTTTGAACCTGCATCTCTGACTGCCCAGCACACCGCAAATTAGGCGCATCTAGTCCCTTTTCAGGCACTTCTTTTGAAGCTGGACCCATGGGCAGCCAAGAAGGAGAGAAAGCTGAGGCCAGGACAAAAAGAATAAGTTAGTACGTGCTGCGTGGCTCAGGAAGGTAGATGCAGCTATAGAAGGAAGCAGGCTTTGGATTCTAGCCTGGTTCCTTGCTGCCACTGGGGCAGAAACTTCCCTACTGCACTGCTCTCCATCCACTTTCTCCACTGACTGTTAAATACAAGAGGCAGTAGTTCAGTTTCATAGGAAGGGATGAAGGAGGGCCCAAGTAATCTGTAACTTGTGGCATGGTGTTCAGAGTGCTAAACTGAGAAGTCGGAGAGATGCAGGTTCAACCCCCCTCCCCAACCTCTGGCAAGGAATACCTAAAACCCATGTGTCTGGGTGCCTGAGCAGGTGCCCAAACCATTCATGTGCTAGTGATAAAACACAGGAAGGTCCACCTTGCCCCTTCCTCCTCCCACCTACCACTTTTCCAGGATCTCCAGTCAGTTTTATTTGCATGTGTATGTGTATACGTGTACATGCCTGGCCAGTGCATATCCAGACTGAGTTGACATGTCCATACTTATACATCCACACCATAGAGGCAGGGCAAAAGCCACCCAGGCCCACAGGTAAGAAACTGCCATTTTGGTGCCCAAAGGGCAATAGAATTCCGTTCTTGGTGTTCGGACTCAGAAGCTTTAACCAGGTGTAGACATACCTTGTCTTGATACTAGACTGTCTCCTTTTGGCTTGATTACATTATGGGAGTATGCTCCATTTCAACCAAAAGTTTTGAACTGATGGCTTTTGAACTTCTCTGCAGATTCGTGGATTTCCTACAATTAAGATCTTTCAGAAAGGAGAAGACCCTGTTGATTATGATGGTGGAAGAACAAGAGCTGACATAGTTACTCGGGCTCTGGATCTATTTTCTGATAATGCCCCAGCACCTGAGCTGCTAGAGGTATCTCTGACTCTACAACGCTAACTTCTTTGCTTTTTCCCTTCTATCTGCCCTTTAAAGCTAGCAGCTGTTATTTTTACAGAAAATATTGACTAAATGGCTAAAATAAGGCATGTAGAGCCCTTCTTCTGGGTCAGACATACCAAGGGATCACAACTTCAACTAATAGAGCCTCATGTATTAAAGGATCTAAGTGAAGGTGTGTGGTCTAGATGCAGGGAAAGCAGTGGCAGTACAAACTACCATGTCAGAATGTTTGAATCCTTATTCAGAAAGAAAGGGTGAAAAGGTAGTTGAGACTGAACTACCCTTAAATCCTTGGCCTCCCAACCAAGGCTACAGTGTGGTGGATTTAGAAAGTCATGGCAATTTTGAAAGAAAACCATTTTGTGTGCACTGAGTAGGGAAACTACACAGCAGCAGGGAACACTGGTGGCATGCTCAAAAGTGCATACACTTGACAACTATATGAAAAAGTGATGGCCAATAAATTATCATTGCACACAAGGGTTTATTTTTAAATTGATACTTTCTGAAGAACACTCACGTGCCTCTCATTAAGAACTAGGTGGAAACCATTCCCTCTGTTAACTCTTATTTTCACTTGATGTGCTAGATTTTAATCATTGAACTAAAAGCAAGAGCTTTTGGGCAACACAGAGCAAAACATTGCTGCCCCTGTTTTACTAAGACTTTTCCCTTGGCATGTGATAAAACCAGCATACTGAAGGACTGGCTAGTTGACTTTCAGGATTAAACTAAAACATTTTGGATACGACAGAGGGAAGTGATGCTACTGAACAAACTTAGCCATGAAGCTTTGTGGCAATGTATTACAAGTAGAGAATTTGGCATCGTTAATAACTTATAAATATAATACATGGGCAGATTTGGGAGGCATTTTGCCCTCTGAGTGTACCTTTTACTTTTTACATGGCTCCAACAGAAGTACTGAAATCACTCTGTTCCTTCAGTGCAGTAGAATTCTTAGTGCTGAGGTTCTGGTATCACGACTTCTTACAACATTGCAACACTACCATTTAGGATATTTTAAATAGATTAATCAATAAGCTTCCAAGAGACACTTTCTCCATTTGGCAAGCAACTACATCTTATGCACTCTGTCCTCACATTTGGGTATGGATTGTCTACAGGGCATTATGGTGTTTCAGAGGAGTAGCCCTTTAGCTGACTTTGGTTTGTTCCCATAGAAGTAATGGTCTCTTTTTATTTAGAGCAGTTTTTTTTTTTCTAAGTATGACAAAGTTAGGGCCTAAGATTGCCATTGTGTACCTAGGTTATAAGATGCCATAACACCTATGTCCTCTGTCTTTTACCCCAGGTCATTAATGCAGATATTCTGAAGAGTACCTGCGAAGCTCATCAACTCTGTATCATTGCTGTCCTGCCTCATATTCTGGATACAGGTAGAATGAAATAAAGCATTAATCTTTCTTACTTAATAAATTCATAGAAGAGCTGTCTTTAACCTGGTCCAATTCTGTCTAACAGGAGCATCGGGTAGAAATTCCTATTTAGAAGTCATGTTAAAAATGGCAGAAAAATACAAAAAGAAAATGTGGGGGTAAGTGTTATCACTGACTTGGCCATTCTTCTTGATAATGGGGGTATTATGTTAGCAAGGAGTTTGGGGAAGACCTTGTGGTTCTATTGTGGATGAAGGTATCCTCTATAGGATCCTGCTTTGTTTTTCTTGGGTATCTCATATTTACTCAAATCCTAAGATGATCCTAAATTTTAAGACAAGCAGCCAATAATTAGATTCTCTACATAGACAATTAATAAATGTGTTTTGTGTTTTTTCCATATATAGAATATAATTACTGGAAGGTTATTTTTAATTCATCCCCCCCCCCCACCCCGCTCTTACTGTTTCAGGGGGGAAGCAGGTGGCCTAGTCCCCTTTCCCATCTCCCAGCCTCTGCTCCTCTTTCACCCCCAGCCTCTGCTTCCCTTCTCCCCTTACCTTTTTTACTCTGCACCAATGGGTTCTGTCTCTGGGGCATGGAGCAGGGCCCCAGCCCTGCCTCTGTAACAGCTTTGTAGGTTGCATGCTGCTGCTACAGGCCAGGCTGGAGCTGGGCTCGGTGTCCTAGGCTGCAGCATGCATGGAGCTTGCTGGTGCAGAGCAAGGAAAAGGGGCAGGTGGAAGGAGCAGAGGGCAGGATGCAGAGGCACTTGGGGGGGTAAGAGCATGCAGCAGCTATGGCTATGGCCCCAAATCTGGGTAGGGGCTGGAGTCTGAGCCACAGCAGCTGCCTGCCCCCACCACCCTCGTACTTGATTCTAAGAGGAGCCTTTTCCCTCATGTTTAAATGGGAGGGGAGGGGGGCAGGGATCCTCTTTTCTAGAATTGACTAAATACCTGTAGTACCTATATGCTGCATGTGCCCATGTCTGCAAAGGATTTTTGCATACAAACCAAAAACATGGTATAGCAAAATCACAGTGAATGAGTAATTGGATGTTTTGCAGCCGGTATGACTGGTTCACCTGTCTCTAAGGAGTCTAGAGAATCAGTGGCTTTCTTTCTTTTTCCATGTTTTTCTCTTAAAATATCAAAATTAAGTACTTGGGTTTATACTGCTAACTTTAATAAGATTATAAAATGTTTGTATCTCCACACTGAATACTGGCAACAAACTCTAAGCCAGGGGTTGGCAACCTATAGCTTGCAGGCCAGACCTGGTCTACAAAGAAGTCAGCTCCAGCCTGGGGAAGTCTGAGACTATCCACCCTGGACAGACATATGGGAGGTAGTGTCACAAAGAAGGAAGAGGGATCACCAGGTGGTTTGGGTGCTCTGGGAAGCAGATTTGGAGCATGTAGCACAGGGGCTGAGTCACAAGCTCTGACCTGCAATGGCAAAATACTGCCAACCCTTGATCTAAGCTGTAAAATATGTCTGGCTTCTTTGGAGTTGTCTCTTGGAAGTTAGTCTTTGATGTTTTACTTCTGAAATAAGAATTAGAATTATCGTGGTCATGCTTTGAGTTCCATGGAGTCTATGGGCACTTTCTCTCTTTCTTTTTTTTTCTTAATTCCTCTAGAATGAAGGGTAGGACTGCTTTTGTGGAGCATGGTACAGAAATATGATCTTCCTAAGAAGGTGGGAGGTGATGTCTTTAAATATGACCGAGCCAACCAACTACTTTGCAGAAAATCATTAATCTCAAGAGAAACTGAGTTAGCCAGTTGGGGAATTAAATTGACTGAAATATGTTTCTTCTGTTCTCTTCTTGGAAACTTCAGACTTAATCCAACCATTTATGTTGTTTGTTGCTGTAGAATAATGGGGCTGAAAGGAACTTTAAGCATCACTTAGTCCAGGGGTGTCAAACTCGCTGAGAGTTGTGGGGCCCATCTACAGGCCAGGTGGGGCCCACAGACTGGCCCTACGCACTGCAGCCAGTGCAAAGAGCTGGTGAGGTACAGGCGCCACATGCAGTGTGCACCAGACCGGCTTTGTGCACCACATGCAGCGTGCGAGACTGGGGCTGGCACATGCTGCATACAGTGCATGGTGGTCTACCGCAGGCAGCGCCATGGGCCAGATGATAGGGCTCTGCCCAGGAGCTGTATCTTCAATGCCTAGTTCAAGCCCCAATGCATGTATGTGACTTGACCCATTTTAAGCCTTGTTTGCATGATCTGGTTAGATTAATTCCAGAGCACTGCAGGTTGCTGACTTGAATAGCAAGAGACCTGAGGTTCTTTGGTAGCGTGGACATGGTTGCTATACTGCTACGTTGCAGAATTCTTGCCTTGTACAGGGCTGCGTGGATTTCCACCTACTGTAGTTGACATCACTGTAGGACAAGGATATGTTTGTTAATGTCCTGTATTGCTTTTTTTCTTAAAGGTGGCTGTGGACAGAGGCTGGAGCTCAGTCTGACCTGGAAAGCTCCTTAGGAATTGGAGGATTTGGGTACCCAGCAATGGCTGCAGTTAATGCTCGGAAGATGAAATTTGCCCTTCTGAAAGGATCTTTCAGTGAACAGGGAATTAATGAGTTTCTCAGGTACAAAAAGTCTCTTGTGTCAAGAGGAAAAATGATTGCATCTTTCAGTAACTATAGCTGTGAATGTGTTTTGCAATAACATGTTCCATAATAGTGCCCAGGGTAAATTCCTATTCCGAGATCTGAACTCCTTAATGAGTACTGTTTAGTTTGGGATTCTTCTTTGGGGGCTGAAGAGAGGAAGCTCTTAGAAAATATAAGTCCCTGTCTCTGCAAACTGCCTAGTGTAACTTTATTTGAAGCTCTGCCTGAAGAAGGCTTGCAGGATCATACTAGGCCCTTAAGCCTTAACGGTGCCTGTATACAAGTGCAGAGTGTGCTTTGACACTAATTACAACATGTCAGAGCAGGCTTGATTAATCAAGTCTGCTGGAGTGTGATAATTATTGTTCTCCAGGAACCTCCCACATCTCGTGTATCAGCGTCCCCATGCTTCAAAATGGCAGTAGGAGCACTTGAACTAAAGCTTGTCAAACAAGTGCTTTAGTTCATGCACCCCGCCACCATTTTGAAACACCGGAATGCTAATACACAAGCTGCTGCAACACTTTAATTAGAGCATCTGTCAGAGCCGCTCTAACTAAAGTGCCCTAAGTGTCCAAATACTTGAAAGTAGTTAAGGAGGCAGTAAGTAGTAACAGCAGGAGATCCAGCTGTCTCAGCTGTGTAGCAGATTGTGATTATACTAACGGTTCTTGTCCAATAAAAAGCCATTCTTTTACGCTGTGTGAAGATGAGTCTGCATCATTTCTACTTTCCTTAGTTTTAGTAGTGTATTGCAGAGCTGGATAGGGTTTTCTGCCCTTGCCTTTGCCCAGTGTTTTTTTTTTAATGAAACACAGTTTTAACTTATGGTTAAAAAGTTGGTTTTGTGCCTCTAGAATCAAAGTGAGAGTATCAAAGCCTAGTAGAAAATAGCAATGCAGATCATAACCACAGATATGAGAAGTGTCTTCTGTTTCTTAAATTCTTTAGCGTTTTTAAAAGCTGTAGGGAGATCTCTATTGGCCTTGGTAGGCAGTGTTGTTGGGCTGCCCTTAGGACATAAACAAAATTTCAGTAGCTGATTCATTTTGGAGGTGTTTCGGCACCCAGAACACTGAAGCTGAAATGAAACGGAAGGCTCCGAAACATCTCTGAAATAAAACCATCCAAAATATTTTGGAGTTTTGGAGCTGGGCTTGCAGGGAAACAGAAACTAACGGGGGGGGGGGACTGCTCTGATATCGACATCTGTAGCTGGCCAGTGTCTACAATCTGTCCCTGAAGTCCCTTCCAATCCCAGTGCTCTGGGGGAGGGATGGCAGCCTGCTGTTACCCCCACACAGATCCAGGGGCTGCACCCCCCCATGTGGGCTGTGGGGCTGTGCCACTCTTCCTGGTGGGCACGGGCCCTCAGATCTGCGTGCAGGATTGGAGCATACTGCCACAACCAGCTGGGGCCAGCGCCAGCACCCAAGTCTGCTCAGTGCACCCCATGCCAAGTGCCAGGAAGACTGGTGCTGCCGCTGGCCCCAGCTGGCAGTGGCAGCCTGCTGCCATCTGCATGCTCCGCACACTGTCAAGGAGTTTTTTTTTGGAGGTTTTTTGTTTTGTTTTTTTAACCCCCACACTCACCGGCTGCAGCAGTGGTAATTAGGGCCTCAGAGGGCTCATGGAAAAGGCCCCCCATGTAGCACGGGACAGCAGGGATTGGGAGCCCCCCAGCCGCCTGGCACCCATGCAGCAGCTGTTGCATCGCATGGGTGCAGTGTGGCTCGGCAAGGCGCAGCACACTGTCCCGGAGCTGGGGTGGCTCCAGCAATCACCTGGAGCCTGGCAGCACTTGGGCCCAGCTCCCAGGTGGCACATGGCGCCCGAGCCATGCTATACATGCGCCATGGGGCAGCTGCCACATGGGTGCCAGGCTGGTTGTGGGGGTGATCTCCCCTGCCCTGTGCTGCGTGGAGGGGCTCTGCCATGTTGCCCAAAAGCCCCAATCGCCGCTGCTGCAGCCAGTGAGTGTGGGGCTTTAAAAAACAAAACATGCAGACAGTGTGCAGGGCATGTAGATGATAGCAGGTTCCTTTGCCAACTGGGGCCAGCAGCAGCATCAGTCTTCCCAGCACCCGGCACAGGCTGCGCCAAGTAGACTCGGGTGCTGGCGCTGGCCCCAGCTGGCAGTGGCAGTATGCTGTCATCCCGCATGCAGATCCGGAGGCCCCCAGATCTGCGTGTGGGTTGACAGCATGCTGCCGCTGCCAGCAAGTGATACGAGTTTTGCTTTGAACAGTTTGAGGTGCAGCTTCACAAAACCCCCTGCCCCAACTTCTTGCGACTTGACAGGCTTCATGCCCTCAAAGGGCAACCCTGCAATTTTAATCCAAATCCAGGCAAGAAATGACAAAGCATTTTAGTGATTATAGCCTCTGGCCAAAACAGCACTGAAACTCTGAAACAGATTTGGCCAGATCAAAATGGGACAATGATCCGAAACGAATCGCTGTACCTCCGAAACACTGAATCTGAAACCAAAACAAAACAGCTGTTTCACACAGCCCTAATAAACAGCCTATAGCAACAGTCACCTGAAGGGTTTAGGTAACTAAAGATTGGCACTGCCACCTTAAAGAGCAGGTCTTTCTGAAGTTGTCTCACTTTGCACTTTAGCTCCGCTGTCTTGTGTAAAGGAAACAGTAGAGGCAATCTCTTATCACGCAAGCCAAGCATGGTGTTTCAGGTAATCTATTAAGAAACCTCCACAAAGTTGAATTAAAATAGAGGAGGAGCAAGAAAAAGCTGGACTCTAATCAAGCTTTTGTGAATTTACAAAATACAAGGTGTGTCCACAAACTGGATTAGCAAGCAGAAGCTGAGATTTATTTTAAAGCAGAAGCTGTTCACCTTCTGATAAAGGGTTAGATATCTGACCTAAAGGAGACAAACTTCTGCAGTTGGTGCTTTAAGTACCCAACCTAGGGTGATAAAGTAACAGCAGTGTCCAATTTTTAATTGAAACAATTATTCCAGAAACTAGAAATAACAGTTTTGGGCTTATCTTGCCTTTGCTTTGTATATATTTTAACTAGATCATTATAAAATGGTGCAGCATTTGTCCCCAAGCATTGCAAGGTGGGTTGCTAATAGATTTGCTTGAAGCCTATGTTTTGTGGGCTGTATGGCTTTTTGTTTAATTGGATTATCTTTGAGCCTTCAAAATTCAGTTGTTGTCAAAACTCTTCACAACTTTATGGACTTTACAAATTGGGACTAACAGATGTTTTGGTATTGGGGTTTATGCTACCTACATGTACTGTAGTAAATGACATGCCCAATTGCCTATTAAATGGACGGAAAGCAATATGTTGTTTGAGGGTGTTGGTATTATAGAAACAAGCCTTTCATTTTATCTCTTCTTTTTTTTTTTTCCTCTTGTTCAGGGAACTCTCTGTTGGCCGTGGGTCTACAGCACCAGTAGCTGGTGGGGCTTTCCCTAAAATTAACACAGTGGAGCCTTGGGATGGCAAAGATGGAGAGGTAAGAGGCATTTCAATTTAGGGTATGTCAACACTTTGGGTTAAAAAGTACTGGGCAGAGTAATTTACTCAGGGAGTCCTATGCTCACTCCAAACTCCTGCTTCCAGAGTAAGTGAAACAATAGTTTCCTTCACAAAACACTCAAATGACTGCCTTAAACTTGGTAAAAAAAAAAAAAAAAACAGCTAGTTAACTCTGTAATGATCACAAACTAGTGAATTCTCTAGGTGGAAAGACTGCAGCATTTAAAGATAAAAATCTGACCCAGGACCTGGAAGGTAACTGTTGGAAGTAGCAAATGGGAAATAAAATGTTCAATATTATGTTTGAAACACAGCTTATTGCCTTTTATTGGTAATGTGAAAACTTTATTATGTGAGGTGAAGGGGAGATACTGTAGTGCATGAAAGTTGCATGGGATTTAGCTCTGCAGCCTAAACTCCAAACTAGTGTAATTGCATTGGACTTAGCACAGTTTCCATCAGTGATGATGAGTTTGGTGAATTTTTTTTTTTGGTTGAAGTTCAGTTACCAGAATTTTTTTTTTTAATGCTATTGGAGACAGCAGTGATGTGTGAGTGCCAATAAAATCTTGGCAGTGCTGCTGTAGGGAGCTTTTTGACTAGCTTGCACTGTTGAAATTTTCCAAGCACCCACCCCAAAAGATTCATTTTCTATTTCCTAGATAAGTTGAATGACTGCTTAGCACATGCTAAATTGCATTAAGTATCTTAGTCACGTGAGTTGACTCTTTTCCACTAAACTACCACTTGACCCTCTGTACTGCCAAACTTAAGCTTATTTTGGAAGACCTCTCTTGGCCTCAGCAAACCATTGACTTTTCAAGTCACTTGTCACAAAAGCATTACAAGTACACTGGTGTTTAAAAACTTGACTTACTGTTCCACAGCTTCCAGTTGAAGATGATATTGATCTCAGTGATGTGGATCTTGATGACTGGGAGAAAGACGAATTGTAAAATCTTTAAGTTTCTTGAGAGAGTTTGTGCAGCAGCTTGGTGGAACATGGTTCACAATCAGATGGATATTCCAGTGGCCTTTTCACAGAGAAGTAGCACTTGACCAGCTCTCTGCAACAGTGAACTGTACACATCGTGAGAAAACTGTGCAAAAATTCTATGAATTGTCATAACAGTAAACTTGATTGTATTCTGTGCAACACATTTTAAGGACAACGTGAATCTTTCTTTGGATGTCTTGGTTTTTATTTTGTTGATATGGTGTGTGCTGTTTGAATGTTTATCAGGGTCTGTTACTGTAACCAGTTTTAAATGCGACTTTCTTTCATTCAGATGGAACTTGATCAGTTTCTGTTTCGATTTAATGAATAAAACTAAATATTTTTGAGACACAGTGTTAGTTTTGTATGGAGAAACAAGGTGCAAATGATTAAAGCCATCCAGGTTCTGACGACTGTTGTAAAGTGAATAGAAAAGTGAAACAGTGCTATAAGGCATCTTAAATTATCCAAATGCTATATAATTTCAACAATTTTGGCCTAAGCCTAGTTGGACTAGATGTTTTAGTTTTAAATGTGCTTTCTAGTCTTCCTTTTCCTCCTATTCTCAGGGTTTTCAGCTTCTTGGAAACATGATCCTGCACGTTTGATCTTGTTATCTGCTACCAAGGAAGTAGAATCACCTTTTGACTGGTGATCTTCTTTGCAAGGAAAATGGAAGATGGGAAGATAAGTGCTACTGATTCACAAGTCTTTCCTGTGTTGGTTGTGAGCCAGCATCCCACTAGGTTGTGAGGGAGGAGTCAGTGGGCTGCCCTAGATGCTCTGCACAGGGGAAGACCTGAAGCTGATGCAGAATGATCTCTTCAGAGGAGTTGTGGTGTTAGTGTTCATCTTCCTGGCTGGATTTCAGCTTGGATAATTATGTTCTACCTTCTTTAAATTTCCTCTGCGTTTACCACTGGGTCAGGGTCTTAGTCTTCACTTCCCATCATACGTTGTTTAAAATAATGATTTTACCCCAAGGTTAGCCACATTTTGGGGTTGGGCACAGATTTTACTGTTTGTAAATTGAATATTGTAAAAGACCATAGGGGTGATTTAAAATGCTAAACAAACGTAACGTAATTGACATAAGAGAAATTACAGTAGTGTCTGCCAAAGTTATCCTGCAAGTCACCAGTCTACTTGCAAGAGAAGGAGATGCTGTAGCTGAAAGCTCCTTCTCCCACGGGTAAATTTTGTAAGATGATTCCAAACCCAGTCATGTCTATATGGTCTTGTGCTTTTTCTTACTGACGAGCTGAAAGGATACACTAGTCAACTGGTCCAAATCACAATAGTTATGAAAACATTCTTGTTTAGTCTCTTGTTTTAGACTTCAGATTTCCAGTGAACCATTAGTAATGATTAACTTGGTGTCGGCTACAATTTTCCAAGTCGCTTAGAAATGTAAATCATGTTTTTAAAAGTGACTTAGGCATTTAGGAGCCTTTTAAAAATGTCACTCATGCTTTTTACTCTTATTTTGAGGCTAAAAAACATGATTTCTTTACTCTTGCTGGGTTTCTATCATCTGGCACTAGTCATATTTCAAAAATTCTATCCTGTTACAAATCATGACTGTAGATTACTAGCTAATCCAGTAACTGCTAAGCTATTTTTAACTCTTTAAATTTATTTTAAATTTCCATAAAGATGATGTTTCCTCCTTTGTAACTAACAAAAATAAATACAACCATGACACTTCTTGTGAAGTCTGTTTTCTAACCCGAAGCATAAGAAACATTTTAAGTAATGAACACATTCTAAAACTGAATGGCTGGACAATTTTAAAGTACTATGCTACATATTAAGAATTTCTTACAAAATTATCCAATAAATGAAGTGTCTGCATTGTTTTTTGACTCAGTCACTTAAATATAGTCACTTTACTGAAACAACGGGGACTGGCTAATGAGTAAGTCAAGCTTGGTTTGATTGATTTAACTGTACTCTAGAAGACCGAGGTCAATCTTGAAATAAACATAGGGATAATATTCTTGATTGCTCAGCTGTAAGCCAGGAATATCCATGCCAGGCTGAAAAAGAAATAAAGTAATTTAAGAATGAGACAAACTATTGGGCTGTTTCAAGATATGATCAATTGTATTTTTACCTTTTTCAGTAAAGATCAGTGTACTCCTTATACTTGCTCTAATGTTCATGAGAAGTCATGTTTGGTTTTGACTGGATGCATTCCTAAGTATTTTAGAAAGTGTAACTTTTTTTTTTTAATTATAGTTCCCAACTGATCTTGCCCTTCCTGCCCTCCCCCTGGTTGTATGCTGTGCTTATTCATTAGGATATGTGTTTGGGTTTGGATGTTTTGCAAATTTTTGTTTTTAACGTAAAGGTTTAGGGAGAAACTAAGCCTCTTAATTCACAGGAAATGCAATAGTGGATTAAACTGGGGTTCATCTTGTTCAGTATCCCATCTTTGACCAAGGCCAGCACCACATGCTGTGGAGGAAGGTGCTTTTTTAGGCAGCTGTGGGACTGTGTCCCGACATTAGCCTCAAAGACCTCTGAAGCGCAAGGTATCATTTAATTAGGTCCTCAGACCTTGAGCACTTGTTGGGTGAAAGCAACACAAGCCTAGCAGACAGTTTTGTTCAGAACTAATGGCTGTAATCTCATGCCGTAGTAGAATGAAGACATACATCCATGATACTTGCTGCTGCTACTTCATCCAGGTGTTTGAAGACCGCATTTAGAACATCTCTCAGACGTTTTGAAGACTTCTTGTTGGGTTGCAGCAGCATTGCCTGGAAATTCACTGGTAGGCCATACCTGTAAATATGCAAAAGTACACTTACGCTCTGCAGGTGGGGTATTGGCTGCATATCTCTCCATGGACTTTTCCTCCTACCTTTCCAATCTTGTGTTGACCTATTTCCACCAGCTCACCCCTCTCCATCAGTGAGTCTTGTATTTCACTTGTCCTGCCTCCCTCATCAGCAAATTACCCTTTTACTTCTGAAGCTGAAAGTGGACTTCTCTTCCCAATACTGCATGCTTCATTTTAGCCTCCCTTGGAAATGCCCTTGCTTAACTTTTCCATCATTGTCAAGCATCAACTGTGTTTTTCTTTGCTACTGTCTGCATTTTCCCTATGCACATCTGAATTGCTAAAGCCAACTCTGTGAAGTGATAGTTCTTCCTTGAGATGAGTAGAAAATACTGAATGGAAGTAAATTGCATTTTGACTTCTACAGTGATCTGTTTTGTACATTTATTCACTTACCTCAGAACAGATTCAACAAAAACTCTTAAGGCTTTTATGTGAATCCAAGCCACAAATGCTTCACTGAAGTTCACTTTCAGCCAGCGCAATAGTGGACCCTATGGAAATAACATTATGTTTATTTCATTTCTTGTTTTGAAAATAGTGATGATGGTACTAAGGGTGAACCATGCACACTAGTGACTGCAATCTCACAGGGTAGGAAAGATCCCACCAGTGTGGGATGTGGGTAACCTTGCTGTGATTTGTCTTATATGCCATACTGTTAGAGCTTGGGCAAGTCTCTGTTTTGTCCTGTGTATAATGGAGATACTTCCGTACCTCAGAAGGTACTGGACATGTGGTGGTGGTGATTATTATAAAAGCCATGTCTGCATATTGTATTGATAAATTACTTACATATTGTTGTTTCTTGTCAGAAGCTAATTTCATCATTTCTTCCTTTTCACATTTCAGTTCTCTCTCATCAAAATAAAATTCTCGAACTATGAACCTTAAAACAGATTATATTGCATTGGCTATAGCTTGGCTGTGTCCCAGTGAATTAACATTTCATTTGTTCTGCTTCTAGCACTGGGGTTGGCAATTTGGGCTGGAGGGCCACTTAAGGCATTTTGGTGAGCTGTTATGGGCTGGGGGTACTGACCTGGTGCAGCAGAGGGGCTTTGATCCTATCTGGGGGTGCCAGAAAGAGTGGGTGGGGGGGTGGGGGGGCAGGACTTCCATGGGGACAAGCCCAGGACCCCTATGGGCAGTGCGCTCTTGGCTGGGTGGATGGGTTGGGCCTGCAGGCATATGGGGAGCAGCAGGTGGGCCAAGATTGTGGGGTGGTGACAGCAAAGGGCCAGGGCATAGGGCAGAGCTGCAATCCAGTCCCATGTCCCTGTGACAGGCGCTGGTTCCGCAGGCTGGGATGTGCGGGGGAGCGGGTCGTGGCTCTGCCTTGGGTCCTAGCCCCACTGTCCTCACTCCATGATCCCGGTCCCACCTCTGCCTGCCATCTGTCCTGTTCCTGAATGCTACTCCCCACCTGCCTGCAGCACTATTCTACCTGCTCAGCCAAGCACACCCCATTCCTGGGGTCCTGAACCAGTCTCCATGGAGACACTGCCCACCCACCTGCTGTCTGAGACCCTCTAACAGTGGGTGCAGGGCAGATGAGCTGGAGTGCCTGGACAGCAGGACTGAGTTCAGTGGTGGCACTGCCCCCCCACACCTAGGGGTAGCTGGACCAGCCACATGTGCCATGGCTCAGGCTGCCCCCACAGCTGTGTCAGGTGGGGCCCAAGAATCTGCCAAGGGCTGGATAGAATCCCTTAGACTGGATTCAGCTGTATTTTGCCCACCCCTGTTCTAACACGATAGGCATTCATTCTTGAATTGCCAACTATGTAACATGTACTGTGTTGAATGGTGCTGAGGCAAGGTGGAGTTGCATTGCTGTTGCAGGAATCCTAGATGTGCTGCTCTAGGTAAGCAGAAAGGGCAATTCCAGAACCACAGTTGTAGGCAGATGCTGGGCCACTCTAGGAATGTGTTGAGCTTTCCCGGTCTCTGTAGTATGGATGCTGCTGGCTAATGTAGAATCACCTTTTCCTGCTCCCTTGACTGAGGGCCAACAGCAGCATTAGAAATAAACAGTTTGTGTATTTAGCAGAATGCAAAAGTCACAGTTGTCCTTGCTTTTTGCTTCTTGGAGGACAGGAGCTCCCAATGTCCTTTTCCCCGCCCCAGTCACCCTGCAGATGCAGTACCTGTTTTCTCTAGCTTTGGCTTTGAAATCATCCATCACTTTTCTAAACAGGGTCACAGTGAAGAGTCCTCCTTCTGCATCCTCAGCGATCAATCTGCAGAAAGGAAACGCACTGCTTCAACCCAGCACGGAGAATGCCCGGTGCTTTCATTACCCCTGCTTTTGTTTACTTTCTCATTTGCAGAACTTAAGTGATCCCATGAACTCTTTTACAGCCTCCTACTGCAGCAACTGCAATTGGAGGCCAAATGTTCATTGATGGCACCTGGAGAAGGATGCAAGCCCTTCTATACCTCAACCCATCTAGGAAGCAGGGTTGGTTGAAGGCTGTGTTCTTTCTTTCTGTTTTTCTTTCACTGTCCTGTTTTTACTCCATTCCTCTTTCTTTCTGTCCATTTATTCTGAGACAGCAGCAAGCATTCCCTGTCTTTCCACATCCTTCCCTGTCTCCTCAGCTTTCTCCAGCTCCCACAAGTGACTCATCCCCTGGTCTTCCAGTTGATATTATCCCTAGGTCTTATCTGGTTCCTTGGTTAGCCATCCCTTCCCACTGTGATCCACACTTCTCTGCTGCTGACTACCCAGTGGGGTATTTCCTTCCTGGTAAGTGCAAAAGGGCAAGTGTTAAGTTGGCTTTGCTTTTATAAGGCATAGTTTTAAAGTTCATTTAACCCATTATGGGGAAAAATGGGGGGGGGGGAAAGATACCAGCACAACATCTGATATTTGGCTGTAAAAGAGTGAACTTGACCTAGATGATTATAACATGCTCCTCTCTTCACACTGTTAGTAGGCAAAGGAAATGGTTTGATGTGGTAGGTGTTGTCATAAAATAACTAAATCACTGACATTCAAAGGGGAAGGCAAGATTATTGGAAATCATTGGGTTTTTTTAAGCTTTTCCATTCTTCTGCTTTTTCCCACCACTGAGCACCTTTAATCAGGGATTGAAGTAGAAATGATGGAACTGACCAGATTGGAAATTTACATAGAGCCCTCCTGTTATGTGTATTTCCCTTCCCACAACCCAAGGATTAAGATGAAAACAGCACAGAGATCCTTGGAGTAAACAGGGTAGCTAGCTCAGGAACTTCACTCACTTTGTGGATCGAGGCACCACCATATCAGACAGGGATTCGTACGTTTTCTGCCACTGTGCGTAGTTTGACCTTTGGACAATACACAACAAAACACATCAAGTTGCTGAAAAGACAGATTTTTATATAGGGGAGTCTGTGACGGCCATGCTTGTGGCCACAGCACTCCCCAGGACCTTATGCAAACACTCCAGATCCTTGAGCAATTGTGATCAACCTGCCTGCCAGGTTTTCGCATTCTCCTCAAAAGCGGAGTTCCCTTTGCACCCTCATCCCAAATTCCTCCTTTGTCAAGGTCAGCCCAGCTTTGAGGTTTGTTTTTCTAAGGTAAAGCCAAACCTAATTTTAAAATCTGATATTCTTGTCCCCCAAAAATCAAGAAGCAAGAGCCATCATGAGATCTGGGACTTGCACTGAAAGATCTATGGTTATCTGGCTGGAGAAGAGAAGACTGAGGGGAGATTCAATAAGTCAAGTACCTGAAGGGCGATTATGAAGAAGATGCAATATACGTTTATTTGTGTCTGTAGGGGACAGAACTAGGAGCACTGACCTCAAAACTACAGCAGAAAAAAAATTAGTTGGAGATTAGAAGGAACTTTCTAACTATGAA